AGTTAAACTACTCAAGGTCGAACCTCAAGTAAAACATCATCTGTCTTTTAGTTTGTCTGTATATATTCTGTTGATTGATGTTAATAATCACAAAATTTTGTTTTTATATCGATTATCGATCGCTTTCTCATACTTATTACAATTACCGCATTACTAATGCTGAAAATATTGAACTCATAACGAGTTTGATAAAGGCCACCTGGAACAAAGGATCGGTTGTATAGCAAATCGATCCTTTGAATATTTTAATTATTATCACATGAAACACTGAGTAGATGTCCAGTGAAAAAATTGGTCAACATGTTCTCGTACATTCAGTCCTTTGAACTGTAAAGTTTTTGTTAATTTGAATGCAATATGCATATTGGATTGATGTGAATGTTGTGGATGTGGATTAGTTGGTTGCTATTTCAATCATTCTAATTGTTATTTCCCATTCGAAGCTCCAACCACACGACCAAGTGACGCTTCAAATCCAGCAAACCAAAATGCAAGATTATGAAATAAAATGAAAATTGATCCAATAACAGGAACACTCAATAAATATATTATAATTGCGAATATATATCACAAGTATTAAGAATATATGAGCACAATAATAAATAAACTTGATACTGTCAACTTATACCAATAGTCAGTAATATTCTCAAAAGTCATTGAAAATGAAACGAAATACTGAATATTGATAAGTAGTATACAATACAATTTTTATTATAGTTAAATTAAATCAACAAGTCACATGTTCATAATCAGACCAGACCCATGTAGTGTTCTTTGAATATCGACCAAAATACTAACATAATGTTGAAGATAAAAAAATCCTAGGACAATTTCCTAACATACATTGGTAAAAATGCGTATAACGTGGCCAATAATCTAGCTTTTCCAGACAAATCAGTCTCCTTGTTATATGGAACTTTCAAGAAATTATTATTCAGTCATGCACATAGTACTGATTTTGAATGCAAAGCGAGATAAAAATTTTATATCATGACGTGATAAAATTATCAGAGGTTCAAAGACTTTGTATATGAACAATAAAAACAAACAGCAAATTTCAGTTTAGGAGACCAGTTACAAATCCAATTTATTAATCGGCTGTTGGCTAGGCTAAATATTTCGAATTCGGAATGAGAACTAGATAATAAAAAACCTTAAAGTTCATTTGAAAAAATCGATATATCTTGTATAAATTATGAAACATCGAATGAGGTTGATTCCCAATCAGTGAAGATCCCTGATACATTACTCAGTCATGTTAATCACTTATATTGAAATAGAGACAGAAGTCAAAAAGGATATTTGAAGCAACAGATAAAGATTAGTAGATGTTCGACAAATATTTATCCTGAGTTATGATTCATTCTGTACACTATGTCATGCCAAATGTAGTAAAATCGAATATATCAATACAATGTGTAAGACAACTGTCAATCACAGTACTTGCATATGATATTCTGAAATATTCGAAATAATATGCCAACTAAAAACACCCTTATATGTTCGATTTAATTCAGACAGAATCCGATAACCGCAACTGTACGTACAATAATTAGAATTTGGCTAGAAAATTATCATCCTATCCACTTCTTGCGCTTATTCCAGATTTCTTACTCCGCCGGAATCTGATTTGTTCTCTCTGACAGTAGGTTGTTGCTGATAGTGTCTGGCCAACGGATACGAACTGTTTTGCGTAGGAAACTGGTCTGTACACGGTTAATCCTTACCGAACCCAACATGCTGGTCTCGAAGTTGAGCGTCTACGGAATCCTTCATTCTGTTTAACAACACCCTGTTGAAGACGTGTCCTGGTATTGAGAGAAAAGTGATATCTCTGTAGTTGTCACACTTCCTGGCATCGCCTTTCTTGGGTAATTTAATAATAAATCCTTCCTTCCAATCTTGCTTTTCCCTTTGTGTATATTGAGACCTGTTTCTGCTGAGGCTGCTGCTACACTGGTTGTCTTCTCCTGCATTTGTTGTTGCGTATGCGATAGAAGAGCCAGATCATCTGCGAAGTCTAGATCATCCAATTGCATCCTAGCTATCCACTGTACCCCGTGCTTCCCTTCAGATGTTGACGTCTTCATGATCCAGTCGATCACCAGGAGAAAGAGAAAGGGTGAGAGTAAGTAACCTCGCCTGACACCGGTTTTTACTTCGAACGACTTTGTCAACTGTCCTCCATGAACGATTTTGCAGTTTAATCCATCGTAGGAATTCCGTATGATATTGGCTATCTTCTGAGGCACGCCGTAGTGTCGAAGAAGCTTACATAGGGTTGTTCTGTCCACGCTATCAAATGCTTTTTCGTAGTCAATGAAGTTGATATAGAGTGATGAATTCCATTCAATTGATTGTTCCACAGTGATCCGTAGAGTTGCGATTTGGTCTGTGCACGATCTATCCTTACGGAATCCTGCCTGTTGGTCACGAAGTTGTGCGTCTACGGAGTCCTTCATCCTGTTTAACAATACCCTGTTGAAGACTTTTCCTGGTATTGAGAGAAGAGTGATTCCCCTGTAGTTGTCACAGTTGCTGAGATCGCCTTTCTTTGGTATTTTGACTAGAAGTCCTTCTTTCCAGTTTTTTGGTACCTGTTCCTCATCCCAGATCTTTTTGAAGAGAGTTATGAGTATCCTTGCAGTTACCGCTACGTCTGCTTTCAGTGCCTCTGCTGGAATGCTGTCTGGTCCTGCTGCTTTGCCACACTTGATTTGTCTGGTAGCCATGCTGATCTCTTCAATTGTCGGTGCGCCAACATCAATTGGGAGGTCCGTGAGTGCTGCTTCGATGTTGGGTGGGTTCAGTGGTGCTGGTCGATTTAAGAGTTCCTTGAAGTGTTCTACCCACCTGTTTCGTTGTTCTTCAATGTTGGTGATTATCTTGCCTTCCTTGCTTTTCACTGGTCGTTCTGGTTTACGGTGATTTCCGGAAAGTTTCTTTGTTGTTTCATACAGTTGTCTCATGTTTCCTTCTCTGGCAGCCTTTTCCGCCGTCAATGCCAAATCTTCCACATATTGGCGTTTGTCAGTTCTGATGCTCCTCTTCACTTGCTTGTTTACCTCTGTGTATTCAGCTTGTGCCTTGACTTTTTCTGCTCTTGTTCGACTGGTATTGATTGCTACTTTCTTGTTCCTCCTTTCTTGAATCTTATCCAGTGTATCGACCGTGATCCAATCCTTGTGATGGTGCTTCTTTTGGCCCGGAACTTCATGACATGTTGAAGTGATTGCCTCTTTTGTCTCTTTCTGGTTGCTCTCCATGGTGGTTCCCTTTCAATTGAGTAGATCATGAAAGGCCTGGAACCTATTGTTGAGGACTATCTTGAATTTTTTGAGTTTGTCAGTATCCTGAATAACAGCCTAAATGTACCATTTTATCGTATTTGTTCTTAACCAATCGGGAGCTATTCGGCATTCCTTTAGAAATGCAGATGTTATTCTAGTTGCAATGTGATCTGTAACAAGAAGCCTAAGGTAATTTCTGTCGCGTTTTCTGTAATTCAAAGCACCCGTCGTAAATCGGTCGGAAGAATGAATCGATTATAAGTTCGATCGTCACCGGACACAACCAAATGATAGAAAAACCAGTTCCTTCAAATAAATGATTCAATATTTTCATCAGCTAACCCCTATTGCATGAGTCGACGTTATGGTATAATAGCAGGTTTATGCATCGGTATGTCTGGAGTTACGATGATCCAGTTTACTGGTTTTCACAAATCCACGTTAAGTTAAACGCCCTAAATAGCTGATTCGCCCACAGCATTTTGTTCGAAATGAAGCTGGATTCTCTCTAACCTGTAGACGAAAGCAGGAAAAAGCGTTCGAGGAAAAGGACTTGATTAAAATTTCGTTGGCTGAACCGTGCTGCAACACGACATTGTACATTAGTTGGTCTAACCTTTTTCAATTGTCAATGTCCCAATCCTTGAGAAGGTCGTTTTTCAGGACCATAAGGTTTTGACTTCAGCTCAGAATTAGGTCATTCCATGCTGTTTTATATCAGCCTCTGCGAAGCAGAGTCAAGTTCAGGTGTTTTCGGATTAAGATGGCATGAGATAAAAGGTGGGGGTGTAAGGGTCTTAATGTTTAAACATATGGGTACGTTTGAAAATGATATGAATAGAGTAAATATGCCCTGAAATGTCTCTGTGTTCTAACCAAATTATCTGCCAGTTGTGTCATTGAATACTTTAGAGCTCGCAGATCACGGACAACGAGCGTGCGTTAGTTAGTTTTGCGCCATCAACCGGCCTAATCATTGGTATAAGTACTCTGTCACTTTTACCTACACCCAATAATATATTTTTGTAATGTCAGTTTTTGCGTTGTACGGTCATAAAATTAGCCACAGTGTAGTGAACGAGAACTAAAGACGCAAACACCAATCCAATGTTTGATGCAAAACTACAGAGTTCTTTGGCAAAAGGTGACAACCATACATTACATACTTTATTTGCAAATCCTCCACCAAATGTCTTTAACAGTTTTCGTGATATAAGCAGCGTACACCATAATAGAACCGGGATACGACGTAAAGGTGATCCACATCAAGTACTAACCTTGGGTTTTGACTTCGATGTTAGCTTATTTGTTACACTATTCCCATTTAACTCGAGTAGACCCTCAATCACTCGACACAGACCATCTACATTGGTGATCTACATATTTACATATGAAATAAAAATCAGAGGACACAAAATAATATCACGATGTGTCAAAAAAACATGTGTAACGTGACAGAACGGAAACGGCTCATAGTTTATCCCTTGTTGCACCAGATTACTTCAAGACTCGCCATAAATATGTCAATTAACTAGTTCGTCACACCATATGTTCATTAGCTTATAAGTCCTCGGAGAAAATTATGGTCTGTCTGCGAGCAAAAATGGTCAGTTGCCTCAGGGAATGAAGATTATTTAAGCTAAAAATTATTTCATTCTTTTGCCGATATTTATATTGCATCTGAAAATGTGAAATTTAAGAACAGCGGAATTTATAAATACATGGGTTACTTGGAATTAAATGCACTGTTTCGAAGTAGTAAGTGTAGTTTTGAAGTGACCAAGAGACATATCCACTGACTACGCGATTTTCAAAGAGTATTTATAGCTTCTTTCAAAGGTCTTGCCTTTATAAAGATCACTGCTATCTTCTCGAGATCGACCTCAAGCAACCAATAAGGGAGAAAATACGTTGGAAAACGAATGGAAAATAATCAGGAGACGCGCTCAAATGTCCGCTTTTTCGTCCGCAAAGGGGAAATATTGCGAATGCTTTTGTGTTTTTCTGTGCAACAGGTGCTACACACTATGTAACTACTTAATTATTTACATAGTGTCGGAAACTTCATGTTTGTTACATAAATATGTCAAGCAATATCGTCCTTATACACATACCCAATCAAAGCGAATACGGTAAAGACATGTTAGGAAACAAAATAGTCATGGGAATTTCCAGTTTGATAATAAATGAAATTAAGAGAAAATGTGAATTACATTATTTCTCTCTCACATTCACCTTGTCTCCTTTATCTCAAGCATTTAAATTTAAGAAAGTAGACGAAATCTGTTTAAGGACAACCGGTTAATAAATTAGTTAGAGAGTTTCAACACTGCATAGTATGCATTGTCTGCAATAAAAGTTGATGAAAGGAAACATTATTATTATTATGTTATTATTACTATTTTGGACACATAGATATTGGCACAAGAAGGCGCCAAATACATATGCGCCACACAAATCTCATCTGATTTGTGTGAGGGCTGTGATACTGCTCGGGTGCCCAAACCGAAGCAGGTGCTTTTCCTAGGGGCCACACCCGGAGCCTTCGACCTAACGGTCTGATCCACAAGGCAGTGAAGCATCGTGAGAAGGTGCAGGTCCATGGTAGCCGGTGACCAGCGGTCGGTTTATACGCCATTTGTTTCTTCAGGATACTGGAGTCCATGTGCACCATTGGTTTGGAATGAGGATTTTCCAACTAACTCCCCTAGGTGGACTCTCCATGTCCATAAACCCGGTTAAAGCGCCGGACATTCGCTTTTCATCCTCTCAGTTTCGTAAACAACATTCACGTCACGAGAAGTCAGTGAGTAGGACTTCCCTGGCAGTAGTTGTATGCACGTGGCTATGTGATAGCATTCCGAGAGGGTGAGCGGACTCTCCCCACTCTCGGCCGTACCAGGGCATTTGGGGGCGATGTTCCTGGTACATGGTTTTTTTAGAAAAGGTTCTTGTGTTGCGAAATATGTTGGTTTGTTGGAGAGCATCTTAATATGCCCCATCAAGACACCTAGATTTGTTCTTTATGTTTTGAAACATTGTGTACCGATAATTTTATTTTGAGTTAAATCGCACAATTTTTTGTACACAATATTTAACTGGTTGAAGAAGCGAATTATGTGAGGTTTAATAAATTAACTTGACAATTTGAGACAGCAGTGATGCACTCACGAGAAATCGACACATATATGGTTTCATTAGCTCACTGTGGAGCACCGAGATATTACAGAATTGGGGGATAAAACCTGCTAGTGGACAACTTATCTGGCAAGTGTGAAGTACAAAATCTAGGTTCATCAGGTGTCTCCATATTACATATATAATACGTATGATGCAGACTTGAATTGATTGAACAACGCTAAGTTGTCTGAATGCCCCCAAATGCCCTGGTATGGCCGAGAGTGGGGAGAGTCCGCTCTCCCTCTCGATATGCTCTCACATGGCCACGCGTATATAGCCTCTGCCAGGGAAGTCCTACTCACTGCCTTCTCGTGGCGGGGGTGTTGTTTACGAAAATGAGAGGACGAAAAGCGAATTTCCGGCGCTATAACCGGATCCCAAACCAATGGTGCACATGGGCTCCAGTATCCTGAAGGAACAAATGGCGTATGAACCAATCGTTGGTCACCGGCTACCATGGGACTGCATCTCCTTACGATGCTCCACTGCCTTGTGGATCAGATCTTTAGGTCAAAGGCTCGGGGTTTGGCCCCCTAAGAAAACCACCTGCTTCGGTTTGGACAACCGGGCAGTATCACAGCCCTCACACATATCAAATGAGATCTGTGTGGCGCATATGTATTTGGTGCCTTCTTGTACCGATATCTATGTGTTAAAATAAATAAATAAATAAAGTTGTCTGAATAAATAGTTAAATTTAAAGAACAAATAAAATTGTTGCCGTTAGGTCCATCGGGTAACTTCAGATGACTGTAACGAATACTTACAGTTGATAACTGCTCGTCGAACTTTTTCGAAGACTGGTTTCTTCATGTAATGGTGAACCTGGCATAATACAAACGCGCGGTTTGTTATATGCAATCCAGTCCATCCAAGTGAACCCTACATAGATCCCCATTTCTACTTCACCAACTATTAGTGTTAACTTCAAATTTCAGAATGACGTTAAAATTAAAAACTTTCTTAGATATTACATCCTTTTTGCTGAGCTATTGCCAATTGAATGCTTAGCAAGCTTTAATTTCACTATTTGATTACATTCTATTCCCGAGTTTAAAATTATTTGTCGTTGTTGTATGCTGTAAGCGAATTATGTAAGATCTAAGTAAATGAAAATTTGTTCTGCGCTCGATACTGTATCTAAAATAGTAGTTCAATGCACTTATTTTTTATTTAATGGTAATACAAATAGTCACAAGTTCCTGAAGTATTTGTTAAAGTGTACTATCAGCTTCATAATTAATTTTCGCATTGTTTGTTTGGATCCTCCTGCTGGTGTTTAGGACTGCAATTAATTAGTCTCATTGATATACGTGCATCCGTTGCGGATTGCATCGATATGACCTCAATCATAAGCATTATAAACAAAGATCTATGGTGGCTGGCAGTGGAATCCAGGACGCGCGTTTCGTCTTATTTGAGACTAGTCAGTTGGGTGGAGGCAATTCGCATAAGTGCCAATAAAGAACTGATCAACCGCAATCGTAAACATCAATGGGAAGATTCAAACAAACAGTGAAAAATGGGTTTACATTAGGCCTGGTTCAGAAACTCAAGTTACAAACAAAAGTTTAAGCCTCAGTTCTTTTTAGTTGGTTTAAGTCTAAAAGTTAATTTCATTCTTTAGTTAAAATTTTACTATTGCAAAACACCCATTGCATGATGAAAACAAGCATATGGTTTAAGAAGACCGTGGAAACAAAAAAAAATAAATGTTTGGATCAATTGTTTAACGATTTGGTAGTATGTAAATGAGTATGATAATTACATCTTTACTAACTGTAAAATTCTGTATAAAATTTTACAAAACTTAAAAAATCTATCCATTAAACCATATTCCAGTTCTCATTAAGTTCTATCAGTTAAACGTTTTAGAAATCGTTCATATTTAGCTTTTTGTGTAACTATTAATAAAAGGGAATCAATAAGTAAAATCTAAATGTTTATGTTTCTAAGGTTAACAAAATAGTTTCGTTTGGATGTTAGGCTCACCATAAAAACCCTGTTCAATTTATTCACCAAACTCTAATGTGCGACAAACAACTGAGAATTGAACCTGTGTTTCTGCTATCATGTGGGTCTTTCAATCCAATTACTGTAATGCACATGCGAATGATGGGTAAGTCATCTTGTATTAGTGCATAAGTATTCTATAATAGTTTATTACGTATGTAAGTAAAGGCCTTATTGATAAAGACTTTAGAGCGATTGAGTTAATGAAAACAATGAGGCACTAACCTTTTACTGCACAACACCTAAATGACTATTCAGAGTTAATAATGTCTGTTTCATTTTAGTCAATACATTCTATGTTTGGTTATTGTGGTAATAAGGGGTATGGATGTGTTCATGTTTCGTTACATTGGGAACTTGGTGTCTTCGTCCGTCGGTTAAGCACACAACTCAATGTAAATAATCTCTTAGCCCCGTTTTAATTGGGTTTAATCATCGTCTATATGGTATCGGAAGGTCAATTATAACCAACTGATTGAGCTGGGTCTAGGTTCCATACATATTGCAGTTCTTAAATAATGCTTATGTAAAAAATTAGGGGCACAGATATTTCGACTTTACCACGTATCAATTTTTGATGAACAAGATTGTCTTCAACTTAAAACTTAATTAGCTCTGTTAATTTCGGCAATGAAAGCTTATTTATGAAGAGTTCTTGTAAAATATGGCACCATAACTGCATCGGACAAAATAAAGCGATAAGATCTCAAAGAACTAGTGGAGGTAAGGTCGTATAGCTAACAAATAAATAGTTAAAAGTGGTGGGAATAAAGAATAGTGATAAATATATCTAGATCAAAGAAATGCAATCGATAATTTCCTCAAATAATAGAATTTACTTTGTCTCCATGGTGAGTGTAATGAAAACTGGAGCATTATTCCCACTGATTTCTATTCTGAGCCATATCTTATGACATCTGTGGCCACTTAGTTCTATGCTCACTAAAACTCGAAGCAAACAATCCGGATAGACAAACAAATCCCCATCTCATACATTTTTTCGTACTATGGTGCCATTTAAGAATCGGATCACCTTTCCACTTTCTCCACTTAGCATTGACAGATAATACTCGATGTGATAGCTAATCAAACGACTTCTATAAAACATTTCAAAGTCACCAAAGCTATCATTTTATTTAACTTATTGATCAAGCACAGTCTAATATTCAGTCTTTTCAGCTTAGAAAGGTGACCGTAAGACTCAAGAAAGCCACTTGAGCGGCACTACCTGTCATTAAGTGGCGTAACAAAGAAGTATATATACTGGTCGAGTCAGAGCTCATGAGAACTGTAATGAGAATTAGTGACTTCAAGTGACGTTAGTTGGAGTTCTCTATTTTCCCCATGTTAACTGTCACAGACATGCTTTTAATAGTAACACTCATCGTATGAGAATTTGGGAGTTGATAATCTACCAGGAGATTCTCTTATGGACTTAGAATACGCAGATATAGTTACATTTAGTAAAGATGCTGAAAAAATCCAGGGTCTTCTGAATATCTTTAACAACAGTGATAACATGTTTGGGATGCGATTTTCTCCATCTAATTGCAAAATATTGCTTTAAGACTGGTCTTCATAAACCCCAGAACTAAGGATGGGGAGTCAAGTAGTTAAGTGCATCGACCATTTTATTTATTTCGAAAGTTTGATCAGTCCTATTGGGTTGATGCCCAATGAAATTCCGACACAAATTCAAAACTGTTGCTGTTTGCCAACTTGCATCACTTATAGAGTAGATGAGATATCCGTCCACTAATCATTGAACAAGTTTGCTGCTCAGCAGTTCCCTGTGTTTTACCATATTTGCTTGAAACATGATCACTAAGAATAGAGGATATTCGTAGGTTACCAGTATTCGTCCATAGGTTTCTTTAAAGCAGTGCCTGGGTTAGGGATAGAATATTAGGTAAGAATGCAAATCGATCGATGAGGTAATCTTTTTCGGCTAAGATGGTCAGAACATAATACATATGGTCGTCCACCTACTACGTCAAGATGCGATAATTTCTAGTGTGGGAGTAGACTGGAAAGAAGTTAGGGGTGGTCAAACCAAAACATGGTGTCAGTCCATGAGTATATTGACTTTTGAACTGGGCCATGCTAGCAGGTGCACACTACCTAGTTGTGGTCTACGTGATTATCGTAACCAGTGGTTAGAGGCATTGGGTGACATGGCTCAGGATTGTTCTCAGTAGTCCAGGTGCCTTCCTTTAAATCATTAGCTGCTAAATCACCTTATAAATAGTTTTTGTCCCACTAATCTATATTTTCTGAAATCGTAACTTCGATGCCTAATCTTTTTTATCACCACTAATACTGTTACTACGTCTACTACTCTGTTATTTCCCCTAACAATTTATTCCACTGTCCCAGTGGAGTATGGCAATTTGATCTGTTTTTCGTATGACCGATTAGCTATTAAATGTCATCTCGAAGCATGATATCAACTACCTGTATATGTTTATTATGTGAATATAATTCTTACCATCGCAGTAGCTTTCATATAATTGTTTCTTAGCTCTAAAATTGTCTGGGACAATCAAGTTATGAAACTAAGCTAAACGGTACGAGTAGTTGCAATAAATTAGAATTCGTTGGTTCATTCAAGAAAATCCCATTCAAATTCGTCTGAAAACAAATCTTCGTCAGGTTTGATTTTAAAAAAATAATTGTGGGTTGTTTTCCCTCTGTTTAGCTACGCTCATTAATAATATCAATTGAAATATTCAAAAGGTTTTCTGAAACGAGATATTTTTGTTTGTCATTTGCACTTTATTTATTTCAAAATGGACTTTTAATGTTCTCAATTCTTTGTTTAGAACTAGCGAGAGATAAGATTGAAAATATGCATTTGTCAACAAAAGAATCTCATCATGTTTTATCTCGGGAGAATAACCAGTTTACTCAAAAAGAATGTAGTGATGACCATCCAATAAATCATGACCATCGGAAAGTCGTCGTTGGTGGCATATTCAGTCCTGTGTCCAATCTGTATGAGAAGAAAGGTCTCCTACCGGCCTCTTTACGCGTCGAGCTTACACGATTAGCCTGTATTTCTGCATCCGACTGGTTGGCCGTAAGCAATTGGGAGTGTTCACAATCAAGTTGGTTGAGAACTCGAGTGGTTTTAGATCACATTTATAGTGTCTTGAATAATACGTACTCGAATTTAAGTAACAATGACGAAACCGACATTGACTCGGTTCCAAGGAAAAAGACTTGCTTCGCACCAAGCAATTTTTACCGTGGGTTTTCTATGCCTAAAATGCGATTATATATGTGTGAAACTTTTGGTGATTTCATGTAAATAGACCTGGTGTGCAATATGTTTTGTTGAAGATTTTTTTATTAAGATCACTTTTTCCTATAATATCCCATTCCATGAATACTTTCTACCTACAAACTACTGGAGTTCATAAACATTTGATTGTACAACTTCAACTAGCAGTTCTCTAGTCATTGATCTAGAACTATGTCTATTTATCTTCAAGTCCCAATTTATATTGGATATACTCAGTAATTATTGTCCCCAAAACTTAATAGATATGTAATTCAGCGTATTGACTAGTTATTCAGGTAGTCTACGTGACCAAAGAAGTATTAAGTAGATCTTATCAAATGTATTCTAGATTTTACGGCAACTAATAGTTTCAAATTGAAATATTGAACTGTAACACTTTTTTACAAGTATAACTTTCTAGTTGTATCTACAAATCTACGTTTACTTATCATTTACATGCTTAATGCTTAAAATTGGAGTATTGTGCGTTATCATCTTACAGCTGGTTTGTGTGGGTCATTTAATATGATGCTGATTACAATCTCACTGGCAATATTTGGGACTATTTTGCTAGACAATTTAAGTTCAACTTCACTAGAGTATAGTTTTTCGAACAGACGTAAATTATTCACCAAATTAAGATTTCCTTACTTGGCTTTTAGGTTCATTGATTGTTTTTGCTGGTGATAATATTCAGTTGCCAAAACCAAAGTAAATGGAGTCGGGTTAGAACCAGTTTTGTTACTGACACAGTTTACTGAGGAATTCATACCGACAGAAAATGTGTACAGGGATTCCCACTGATTATCTCCAAATGTTTAATAGCCCATCCATCACTTTTCTATAATTCTTCATAAAATACAAATTCTTTTTGTCTATTAACTGCGTTTTTTACTGTGAAAAAAAGTTTACTGAGGATGCTGTATCCCTACATACCACGTATGAAGAAAAAACTAGGTATAAGTTCTCATTTCGCCTTAGAGAGATTTTCACTTAGTTAACGTTAAAGAATTTACGTGGATTCCATTCACTAAATTTCAGTGTATTTTGTCGTTTGCTTCTCAGTTCACTCTGTAACTGATGATCATGGAACTAAATAAACTCGGATTTAAAATCAATCCTATTTGGTTCCGTCCAGTAAATCTTGTTAATAAGATTCGTCTCTTATAGTAGCTAGTTGAAAGGCGCTAGAAGCGAGCATAACTGTTGCATACACTATCACAGTTGTCTTTAGATTTATTGCTGCATACTCCGCCCCATAACAAATATCGTCTTAGAAGAAGAAAACATCTACCGAAACCGATTTCCTAGTACCCAGCCGTAGTTTTGTAATTGATCTTTGTAACAACTTTTTATTGTATAAAGCTTTATTTATCTCTTCCGTAGTACACTAACATACAACTTCATCTGTCAGTACATTTCCTTAGGTGTATCCACTTATTAATTTCTTTAATTTCTAGCCACTGATCGTTTAATTAACGAAGACCACGAACAAATGAAACTTTCATCACTAGAAGGCATGGCAACTGACCTCTGGCTTAAAAGTTGCTTTCATCATCTTGACTCTCTTATTAATGTTAGTAACGTAAAATGTAGTGAAAACCAAGTACATGATACTAATGATGATCATTCCAACAGCAATCTCTCCACTTCATTATCATCTGTAGATAGATCATGTTACTGTCACAAAAACAATACTGCAAACGTTTTGCTATCAAAGCCTTGTGTGAAATTAGTTTGTGGTGCTGATCTTCTGGAATCATTCAAAACTCCAAATTTGTGGTCAGCAGAAGATGTAAGTTTATGATTATTAAAAATAAGCTAGTTTGATTCGATTAGTCACCCTGTGTCTGTTGTATAGACTAGCGATCTTCTCTGTAGAATCACCTTAAAATACGATGTTCATGATTCAAAACATTTGGTTTTATAGCCTTTTTTAGTTTACCAGTTGCGGTATCATATTTTACTCAGTAAATCTAGAGGTATAACACTTTTCCCCTAAGACCGTTTCATCGTACATTCTCCGGCAACTACATGCTTTGGTGCTTGTCGGGAAGTAATAACCGGTTAATTGAAAATTTTATTCAGTTCGCTAATCTAATCACGATATTTGTTTGTAGTTTATTGTTGTTTTTACAATTTGTTTATATATGATCGGATGCATCCATTCTAAGAACGGACCGTAATTACTTGTATTAACTTCTATAAGCTAGATGCCCTAAGTGGGAAACTCAGCATTCATCGATCACAATGTACAATATAACACTATAATAATTAGTATACATTATCTGATGCGTAAGGTTAGCCTTCTTTCACAGAATAGCCATACATCTATTGATCAATTTAATTCAATAAAGTTTCTATTAGATTATTCTCTTTTTTCAGATTGAAACAATTGTTCGTGACTATGGTATAATTTGTATTAGTCGACCTTCATATGAGCCATTAAAAATTATCGATGAATCAAACATTTTGAGCAAATATAAGGTAATTTGTTTTTATTTGTTACACAGAATATTATTTGGGGAAATTGATGAGAAATTACCGTAAATGCTTGTGTTTTAATCGTTTTTCCCCTATCGTTATAGTAAGAATATACAGATGACTAAATAATATAGATTTAAAGTGAATAGATAAAGAAGTTAAATCAATATTTGATTGGTTTGCTTACAAATTTATTTGGTTACCGCCTGTAATACCGTCAAGTTATAGGTAAAACGAGTACAAATCAACAGTAATTGAGGTTTTTGTTCTGTTTATTGATAATCAGGATTGTATTTGGCCAACCTTTATTGTTGGGGTATGTGACTAATGAACAAGAAATACGAACCCTCTAAAAGTATATCTTACCCGCTGAACATATCAGTGGCTATATGGACTTAGTATTTTTGCGTTTGATACTGGGTTCGAGGTTAAATGTGAAAATCAAAACTGGGATAAATATATATCCGGCTGACAAGTCCTAATTAGGTCGGAATCCTTATCTTGGATTTCACTGTTTATCACATTCTGGAACTATGAAATTATTGTAACTGTGGTGCATGCATGTATGGTTTTCACATTTTAGGAAAGCACTGTGTAATTTTAGATAAAATAACAAATTGGTTTTCCCCACCAAGTCTTTGTTTACCACATATCTACATTTGTCAATTGGATATGTTTAGTAACTGATATAATTTATCGTCTGAAATATGTTAGACACCTTATGCCGATCTACATTAAACTTCTTTTTTTAACCTGATGGAATTATAAAAAAGTCAAAGTTACGATGAGAAATACTTACCGATGCCAACTGAATGCTTCTCTATAGCGATCATTTATTAAACATCAAAAAATGTCATGCTTTATCGTCCATTTAAATTAAGCTCAATGATTTAAAGATTAGTATACTCAACTTTAACTCCGCCTGTAGCTCTTCTAGGGCTGCTGCCGGTCCCAAGCCCGGGTAAAGGAGGAGGGTTGGTCATGGGGTCGACAACCCCATCCCATAGAAAAAAATCTTGCTAAAATAACGCCAACCAGATTAACCCAAGTAAATCATTTAAACTGTGCCCTCCTAGACGAAGGAAAAATTATGACGCCTCATGATAAAAGCTGAGATTCTTGGAAAGTCACGAGATCGATACCCCTTCTAATAACCATAGCAACAATTAATATAGGCACATCGAACGTCCGGACAATGTGGGAGACCGGAAGGACCAATCAAATAGTTATGGAAATACAAGTTGGCGGTTCTCGGAATCAGCGAAACCCAATGGACCCAAGTTAGACAGCAAATGTTAGCTCCGGCGGAGAATGCTCTACACACTCAGGGAGTTGCTCTGATACTGTCCAAAGAAGCACTTAATGCACTCATAAGATGGGAAGTTCATGGATCCAGAATCATCAAAGCATCCTTCACAACAAATGAGGGGATTACAATGAATGTCATTTAATGTTATGCACCCACCAATGACAGCAATGATGACGATAACTATCAGTTCTACGAGAGGCTGTAATCAATCACAGCGAAGTGCCCAAGAAAGGATCTCACCATCCGGATAGGAAACCTAAACGCCGAAGTCGGAATGGATAACACCGGATATGAAGATATCATGAGACGATATGGACTAGGAGAGGCTTGCAAACCTATGTTCTTTCAACAAATTGATTAAAGGCGGCACAATATTCCTTATAAAACACATACACAAAGCTACATGATCTTTGGACCACACCACGAAGAACCAGATAGATCATATTTGCATCAGTTAGAAATTCAGAAGATCAATAGAAGACATGAGAACCAGAAGAGGAGCTGACATAGCTTCAGATCACCAATTGAGGAAACGGCATTACACAGGTTCGATGCAGCCTTCCATCAATATACTGACAAACTCAACTAATTCGAGATAACTCCCAACAACAGATTCCAAGCCTTACAGGACCTATTGAAAGAAGAAGAAACTACTATAGAGAACAACTGGAAAGGGATCAAAGAATCTCTAACTTCAAAGTATCGGGAGGTGATGGGCCGAGAGAAGCAACATCATATGGATTGAATCTCTATCGAAACTCAGGACAAGATTCAAGAAAGGAAAAACAAGAAAACGGGAATTAACAACGCCCGAACAAAAACAGAGTATCACAGAATCAAACAAGCAAGTAAATAAGAGCATTAGAGCCGACAAGCAGAAATGCGGGGAAGACCTAATAACGACATTGGAAAAGCTGCAACAGAAGGAAATATCAAAAAACTATATGACACGACGAGAAAACTGGTAGGGAAATATAGTAAGCCAGGGAGACCAGTCAAAGATAAAAAGGCAAGCCAATAACCGAGATTCATTAACAAATAGGTAGATTACTTCGAGGAACTCGTGAATGGACGAGCTCCATTGAGCCCAACGAATATTGTAGCAGCACTTACAGAACTTCATATAGATTTGACTCCACCAATGGTCGAAGAAATCATCATGGCCATCAGACAAATCAAGAGCGGGAAAGCAACAGCGATATACTACAACTACTTCAATATCTTGCCCTTTGCATCTCAGATGGCACCGCGCCAGATCACATGTCCCTGAGTCGTGTGGCTTTCTCAATAACCCATATGGTTAATGTGCTTATTATGTACAGAATAACCCCACCACCACTACGGTTTAACCCAACGAAGAAACCAAACAGCTGAATTTCACTACCTTGAGCTTCTGAAGTTAACAACGCTTCTAAGATGGAAATGACATTAGGGTTTTCTGTGTCCACTACAGTTCTGGGCTCCTCCATTTTATTTGCAGGTTGCGAGCATTTGTATGGCATATCTTTAATCACATGAAGTGCTTTACCGTACCACCCAAATGCCCCGGTACGGCATGGCCACGTGTATAAAGCATTTGCCAGGGAAGTCCTACTCACTAACTTCTCGTGGCGGGAGTGTTGTTTACGAAATTGACAGGACAAAAAGCGAATGTCCGGCTCTTTGATCGGGCTGAAAGACACGGAGAATCTACCTAAGGGAGTTGGAAAATCCTGATCCAAAAAAATACTGTACATGGGCTCCATTACCCTGAGGGAACAAATGGCATATGAACCAGTTCGTTGGTCACCGGATACCATGGCACTGCATCTCCTTACAATGCTTCACTACCTTGTGGATTGGACCTTTAGGTCGAAGGCTCCGGGTGTGGCCCCCTATGGAAACCACCTGCTTCGGTTTGGGCACCCTGGCAGTATCACAGCCCTCACATAGATCAAATGAGATTTGTGTATGTATCTGGTGTACTCTTGTACCAATATTTATGTGTTCAAGTAAATAAACCACCTAAAGTGGTTCGAGCATGGTTTTACTGGTGATTGACTGGATTATGAAGGCCTCCTCATCTGAAGGGAAGCACGGAATACAATAAACAGCTTGGATGCAAGTAGACGATTTGGACTTCTTAGATGACCTGATACTTCTATCCCATACACACGAGCAAATGCAGGTGAAGACAACTAGTGTAGCAGCAGCCTCCATATCAGTAGGCCTCAATATACACAAGGGAAAAGCAAGATCCTCAAAGTCAACTCAGAGAACACCAACCCAATCACACTTGATGTAGAAGGTTTGGAAGATATAGAAACATTCACGTACCTAGTCAGCATCATTGATAAACGAGGACGATCCAATACAGATGTAAAGGCAAGGATTGGCAATGCAAGAACAGCATTTCTACAGTTGACGAGCATATGAAACTCAATGCAACTGTCAACCGACATCAAAGTGAGAATCTTCATTGCGAACATCAAGACAGTTCTACTGTATGGAGCTAAAACTAAGAACTACTACAGCCATCATCGAAAAGGTACAAGTACGTATACAGTTTTCTACGCAAGATACTTAATGTTCGTCGGTCGGATACCATTAGCAACATCCTACTGTAGGAGCGGACAAACCAGGCTCCATTTGAAGTAAAAATTGGGTGATGGTGTTGGAAGTGGATAGGACACGTTGAGGAAATAATCAAACTTCATCTCGAAGCAAGCGCTAACTTGGAATCCTGAAGGGAAACAAAAAAATGAAAGGCCGAACAAATCACTGCGTTGGGAATCGGAAGCAGACATGAAAATGATGAATGGAACCGGGAATAATTGCCCAAGACAGAGTTGGATGGAGAATGCTGGTGCGCGGTCTATGCTCCTCCATGAGGTGTAACAGGAGTAATTAGGCAAGTACATTCATCTTTAAACTTTAGATTGTCATATATGTGTATTAATGAATAGGCAAAATGTAATGCATCTAGCTAGTCATTGATTATCGGCGTAAGTGAACTTACAGTAATTACCAATATATAATTTACAAAACGCCTTTAAACTATCAATCACAGATACCCTACCAGGCATATTTCATTACGCAAACGATCTCCAATCATTTAAAGACCTTAAAAACAGCGAGAGTTTAGGAAGTTTACTCATGCACAGAAATCATTATTACAGATAGATGCAATATTTTCCAATGTATATCTGATTTTTTTAATATTTCACTTAGGATAATATAAGTTTAGTGATAGACAATTGTCAGAATTCACTAAGCTCTACTTTTGTACGTCATGCTTTATCAAATGGTGAAAGTGTACAATACCTCGTTCCAGATCGTACTTTGGAATATATTTATACACATAAATTATATGGTGCGAAAAAAAGATGTGTTAATCTACTTGAATCGAAGACTAGAACAGAAGTTCAACACTAATTACCAAACATTCCATGCTGCATTTTTCAAATTGTTGAATCATTTGATTATTCTTGATAATATACAATTGTAAATACAACTTTATATAAGTATATTACTCATGTTGATTGGATTAAATTTCTTGAAATTGTGCAATTACTTTATTTTATGATCCTATCCAGTCAAATGATTTACTTATTACGCTATCATTCGAAATAGACTTAGACAATTAATTTGTTACTCATCTGCCTAAACCTATTATTTCAATCGTCATAAATGCTGAAAATATGTGGTAAATGTATTTCATGTAAATTTTGCGTAATGTAGTTTAGAATATCGTTTCATTAAGTGTTATGTGAAATGTAACAAAAAAACAATTATATTATCTACGCGATAGAAACAACAATGTGTAAACCGTATCTAAGTTGCTACACTTTTTTTAGTTATATAGTAAAGAAAATATTTCATCAGCACAAGATAGCATTGTTGATATAATATATTTTCGTTACTTAAAACGGTGAGTGGAATAAGCTAGAATGCAAATAGACTTTTTGCTGGGATCTGAGCATTAAATAATATCGGTAATTTCTGTTTTGTACAGCATTTTAAAATAACTACATTAACTTAACATCTTTACTAAATCCTCTTAACAAGATTTGCCCCCAAATGCCCTGGTACGGCCGAGAGTGGGGAGAGTCCGCTCTCCCTCTCGAAATGCTCTCACATGGCCATGCGTATATAGCCTCTGCCAGGGAAGTCCTACTCACTGCCTTCTCGTGGCATTACTGTTGTTTACAAAAATGAGAGGACGAAAAGCGAATGTCCGGCGCTTTAACCGGACCCCAAACCAATGGTGCACATGGGCTCCAGTATCCTGAAGGAACAAATGGCGTATGAACCAATCGTTGGTCACCGGCTACCATGGGACTGCATCTCCTCACGATGCTCCACTGCCTTGTGGGTCAGACGTTCAGGTCGAAGGCTCGGGGTGTGGCCCCCTAAGAAAACCACCTGCTTCGGTTTGGGCACCCGAGCAGTATCACAGCCCTCACACAAATCAATTGAGATTTGTGTGGCGCATATGTATTTGGTGCCTCCCTTAACAAGATTTCCCGGATTTTTATTGTATTGTAAATAGATATACAATATCCCAATTTGTAAAAGAAGTAGGAAAAGTTAGACTACATTTTTCGTGCAACGAAATCACCAGTAATTTTCTATCAGGAACAATGAAGCACAAGAGTCTTGGGAAGTCACTTTCAGTTTTGCTTCGCAAGGTGGAAAAATTACTAGATGCATCAAGCCACTCAACATCTAATCATTTAAAGTTGTAACAATGCTATCATACACAACATTAGTGTTCTTTTGTATATTAAACACAAACTGTATATCTTGGTCTTTACTCAAAATGGCAGTAATAACGCAATATCTCTAGTTGACCATTGAATTTTTTTAATAACATCATAAGTGTCTTGATTAAACAAAATGTTTATTCGTATGTATCATTACCAAGGTTTGATCTGATAATTTCGAATAAATTGAGGATTGGGTTGATTGTTATAAATAAATAATATGTTTGTAATATCCCAATGAGTAGAAAATCAGATTTTCTACTCATTAGGATATTACAAATATATTATTTATTTAAAAATGTTTATTCATATCTGTTTATTGAAACGAATCCCTGAAAGTTAGTAAATTGAAGGTTGAGATAAGTACACATGAAGTCTACCCATCCTTGATATGACTAATTAAGTTCGCTCCCATACTTACATAGACCACAGAAGATCAACAAGTAACGTTGAATATAACACGGTCTAAAACTAAATCACAATACTGAGTGACATTAAGTTCTTTGAAGTTAATGAGTTTGTCGATCAAAGGTGTTATAGAAGCACCGGTTGGAATGTTTAGGTAAGTAAATGTTTTGTGTATCACCGTCTAATACAATACTGAGCGAATTAAAAATGGAAAGAAGTTAAGGTTGATGAACCAAAGCATGTGAAGGAATGCTTTTCGAATAGCACAGGACTATGTTTTTCCCGTTTGTAATAGATTTCTAGTGATGGTACAAATAGGTATAGGTTTTTAATGTAAATAAGATAAGCTAAAACTCAGTATCAATTTAAATACTTAGTCACCAAGTTATGAATGGGTAATTGGCGAACTATGCAAGATTATATTTCGTCGAGTTTATTCCGACAGCCGGGTACTAATGTCTGTGGGATGAGAACTTATTTACGGCAGATGTCAGATATATATATATCAATATACCTACCTATGATGCAATCACTCAACAAACTTTCATGAGGCTGCAATTTCATAGAGTCGCATTACCTTAAAGATATTAAGTATTTTTCCGTTTAAACCGATTCTAAATAATGACAATTTGTGTACCTGTTACTAGTATCCTATTTTAAGTCCAAACCCCGCTCCATCTATTACAGTTTCGGCAGACTAGTAGTATCATTAGCTTTCATACTTAGATTGTGGCCTTACTCAAGTACCTGATGCTTTCCAACAAAATATATGCTTACATACAAGTAACCTCAAAACGAAACACACTGTATGATCAGTCGGTCAATGATAATAAATGATTTAAATGGTGAAGCAGTTAAGGAATACAAATGTTTTTTCATTCAAATAGGTGTAGCTTAAAACAACTAATAATGCAACTGGAAATCAAGCCGACGCTGATTTCTTGTTTGATAAAAAGGTATTTAAGATATGTAAAAAACATTTTATCTAGAGCATGAGTGTACAATTATCGCCGAGCACGGTCAACTGATCGACTTCGACTCCGTTCACGTGTTCTGTGTTTGGTTGACATCTTGACTGGATTTGGACCTTTCGTAAACGCCCAATCCACATGAATTCTTTGACCATTTAGCTCAGAACCATTTAGATGCTCCATAGCGGTAAAAGCTTCCTTGAAATTTTCATATTCTACTAATGCATAGCCCTGCAATTTATTAGTCAATAAGATAGCTAAACGTACTTTTAAATAACCAGTTCGCCGGTCAAGGTTGAGGTGTATGTTTTTTATATCACCATATTCACAGAATTTATCTCGAATGTCTTCTTCCGTAGCTTCTTCCTGTACATTCCTTACAAACAATATCCAACCTTCTACGGCTGGTAAACAATATAAATATTTATCGTAACAACTTACATCTTTGAGGTCCTGATTTTGACGACCCGTCATCCACTACAAGAGATTCATATCCTTCTTTTGTCGTCCCGACTGAGTCTACAAGGCTTAGAAGCATTGAAATTCATACCAGCTCCGAATCCTCTGCCTTTTCTTTTTTTAGCGCTTTCCTTCAATTTCATTAAACCATCTAAAATAAACACATGGACTCAGATGAATTTAGGCACTTAAAAATTGTTGACTGCAAATAATAATGCTATATATGCAACAAGAATATCTTAACTAGAAATAAAAAAGTTGTTTATCTGGTATTGTTTCAAAGTGAACGCTAGTTTTTCAATGCCACTAACTGTATGATGGAGCGTAAGACAAAGTATTTTCCTGATACTATGGGCCTCGGAAACTATAATTTTAGGTTGTATGAAAGCTAAAGACTAATCTTGAAACCTGATGCGACTGGGATTGAAGAATAATCACAATATATACATAAATGCAGTTTAATATTTATGATAGTGTTCAATGGTAGTTATATATAAAATAAAGATTGTGTATAAGGATAAAGTACAGAAAGAGAGAATTAGTTCGTAGAAAGCAATTTGATGTCACGGTTTAAGGGATGACAGAATTGCACACCTACGTCTTTGCCCCCAAATGCCCTGGTACGGCCGAGAGTGGGGAGAGTCCGCTCTCCCTCTCGATATGCTCTCACATGGCCACGCGTATATAGCCTCTGCAAGGGAAGTCCTACTCACTGCCTTCTCGTGGCATTACTGTTGTTTACGAAAATGAGAGGACGAAAAGCGAATGTCTGGCGCTTTAACCGGACCCCGAACCAATGGTGCACATGGGCTCCAGTATCCTGCGGGAACAAATGGCGTATGAACCAATCGTTGGTCACCGGCTACCATGCAACTGCATCTCCTTACGATGCTCCACTGCCTTGTGGATCAGATCTTCAGGTCGAAGGCTCCGGATGTGGCCCTCTTTGGAAACCACCTGCTTCGTTTTGGGCACCCTGGCAGTATCACAGCCCTCACACAAATCAATTGAGATCTGTGTGGCGCATATGTATTTGGTGCCTCCTTGTACCAATACCTATGTGTTAAAATAAATAATAAATTTTGGTCGATTATGAACCATGTCACACAGATTCTCCAACCACTGGTTACTAAAGTCGAGTGACCTCAACCACGTTTTGGTTTGGCCGCCACTAACTTCCTTCCGACCATCCGCAACACTAGTCAGCGTTGAGCAGCGCGTGACCCGACCATCTCAGTCGATGAAGATTTACAACCTCATTAACTGATTTACCATCATTCTCTAATACCTTGAGTCTAACCTCATAATTACTTACCCGGTGATCCCAGCGGATGCGAGCATCTGTGGTTAAATACTAGTAACTTACGAATATCTTTTACTCTTAATGGCCACGTTTCGCATTCGTAAATTAGAACAGAACGAACTACCGCACATTACACTCGTCTCTTGATTGCTTTTAAGTCAAGTAAAGCCATGATTGTCGGACGCCGATATGCATGCCTGTGTTCTCCCGACTGTAGCTGCTACCTTTTGGTGGTTGGGCTTGCCTATCGTGATGACCCAACCGAGCTATATTGGCTTAAATATATGTTCCTGTAGGTTCTACCATGCCAGGCAGTTCGGTTGGAGAACGGTAAGACTAAAAGCAGCAACTCAAGGTCTGAGGGCGAAGTCGTACTGCTGACTGTACAGAGGTGTGACAGCAGTAAGGTGTTTCCATCGGACAACCAGCATCTGCAGCGATGCTGCCTTCTCACAAGGAAGGAAGGGGTTAGAAAAGGTCGACCCTAAAAATGTCACACCTCACCTTACCCCACGGATTTCCGTCTCCGGCGGTAAGGCCCTTTGAAGAACGGAGCTAACACATTAAAAACCTCCCACAAAAAGGCTGTGCGCGACCGGCCTCAAGCAGTTGTCCCTTGGGCTCTGCGGTCACGCTCCCAGGTCGCTTAGACCAACACTAGTCAGATTTTATTCAGGTTCCTCAAGAAATACCCTTCCACGGTGTGGGCAACCGGGAAGTGACATCAGCCCTCATACCCGTAACAGCACACGAGACCAAGTTGGTCACATTCATATCCTTCCTACACCTCCTAATAACTCTCTTATCTCCACGACTAGCCCTTCTTACGTCCCTTTATCACCTCGCACCACTAGTGCAAACGATTCGAGTACGCGGAATGTTATTCCTGGTCTCCTGAAACCACGCTCTAAACTACACGTAGGAGCTTTCAACGTCCGAATACTGTGCCAAATAGGACAACAGGCTTCCTTAGCTAAGACT